TCATGGTAGTTGAAGAGGGAGCGCTTGATCTTCAATTCTTCTTGGAGATAGGCTTCAAACTGAGCGTTTATGTAGTCAACGATGGGTTGATAGCTTTCTTCTTTATTTACTTGGTCACCAAATCCCACTGTATTCACAATGGTCAATTTTAACCGAACATTACTTTCCTGGAGTTCATATGTCTGAGCTTTAAGTTTAACATCTGGGCAAAAATGTGAGCATTCATGTTCTTCAAAATTAGTATTAAACAATGTATTAATCAGTGTTGATTTTCCAATTCCAGTCTCTCCTGAAATAAACAAAGGCACTGTCTTCATAAGTGCATAAGATGACTGAGGAAAACTAACTGTAAACTCCTAGAGTAGTTTCAAGGGTTCCAAATAGTTCAACGATGACACTGCCTTAATGCTAAGGTGGCTCTCAGACCACTAACAGACCACAGAAATGCTAAGTTACTCAGAGCTTGAGCACTAAACTATCTACAGAATAAAACATTAAAGCCAAACAAACAAACAAACAAACCCTAGTGGAATGTAAACTTAGAGGATCCCTGGGACCAGGATCTCAAGTTGCTCACATGAACATCATATAACTCAAACAGAGAGCAGGTGGCCCTGCTGAGGGAAGCGCTCGAGAAGGGTCGCTGGCACTCACCCACACAGAGGATGTTGAAGCAGAAGCCCTGCTGAATGGACCTGTTGACCAGCTGGTCCGGCAAACTCTCAAAACCAACATGGCCACACATAGTCAAGGAACGAATACTTTCTCTTTTCTGAAGGAAAACAAAAATGACAGCAACAATTAAAATAACCTGACTGAAATGGGACATAGGTGTACTTCAAAGGATAAATACGAAGGGATTACAGATTTTAAAATCATTTTCCTTCACCTGGGATACAAATGATTAAGCAAATTGGTGAGAATTATGAGAATTCATTTAGAAACTCCAAACATGTTTCTTACTCCCTTTAAAGAACAAGCATCTAAAACAATTTGTAACATCAAAATATTTGACTTCCCCAAACAGGCAAATGGTGGTGCCTGATACATTATCGGTTTTTTTTCTTTTGTGGTCCACACCTTTTTAAGCTGTTTCATATCTTTGCAAGCTTCTTACAGAAATTTTATAGAAGTGAAAATAAAATCATGGTAAAAAGGTTAAACAGATGTTAAAAGACAGTGTGTTGCATGGCTAGACTAGAGTTATAGAATCAATTACTTTGGTTTTCTGGAAAAATAAACTTTATAAACATAATTAAAAGAACAGGGAAATGCTCAAACTATGGCATATACACTCATAAAGTAGAGAATTTAGTCATTACATATGATCAACTACTATTTCAAAAGACAAAAAGTGATAGCTAATAAGTAGAAATAAAATGGAGTGATAAAAATATTGATCCAAAGGAAGACAGAAAACAAAATGAAAGAACAAATAGGACACTCATGAAGCATTAAGGGGACTCAAGGCAAGTCCTTCCTCGCTAGCTTCTAGGAGGGATGGCCAAGGGCCAGAATGGTCTCTATGAGCTGACGACACGAAGCCCACAGGAGGTGAATTCTGCCAATAACCTGAACACGTCTGGAAAGGGAGACTCTCATAAGCAGCCGGGAAATGGATGCCACGAGCCCGACACTGAGCGGAGGCGCTGTGGGCTCTGCCTGACTTTCTGAGTGTAGGACTGCAAGACAATAAACAGACACTGTTTAAAACAGCTAAGTTCGTGCTAATGCATCATACAGCAACAGGAAGTTAGTACACTACATTCTCTTTCGTCCCTGTGATTCTCAGTTCTGCATGCATGTTACTGTTACCAGATTTACAAAGGGAGTGAAAAACTACTATGCTTCCCATGAATGTACTCAAGATTAGAACATTTGCTAGAGTTTTTACATAAAATTAAACTAAATGGCCTCTAAAATTTCCCGCCTGTGTAAAATTACATGTTTTTTTAATGTCACAGGACCAAAAGAAGCATTTTTAAAAAAGGAAGGTGTGGTATCTGTGATTTACATGCAGATGGGTCAGAGCAAATCAAACTAAACCAGGACTACTCCATGATCTGTCACTGAAGGCAGTGGTGACTGACAGCAGTCTTCAGGAAAGCAATTACTTAGAGGGCAGATGAAGAGTAACTCACAAAGCCCGCCAGGTAATAAAGATAGAAGAGAATGTTATCACCAATTACTAGGAGAAAAGGATGGCAGTCTGATGGTTAAATTCAGATTTATTTATTTATCAATTATGTATTTGATACAAGATTACAGGGTCTACCAGGTGTCACTATGTAGATCACACTCCCAGTGATCCTCCTGTTTTCAGCCTCCCAAGTGCTGGGATTACAGACCCAGTCTCAACCACCATCTCATCGTGCCCTGGGGACAGGGCCGGCACAGTCAGCCAGGGATGGAACCTGTCCGCTGCATGAGAAGTAAGAAAAACTACAACTATTGAAACACAGAACTAAAGGAAATTCGTCAATTTTACTAACATGCTTGTGCTTGCAATTTTGTTTCAATGAACAACACACCTCTTTGATCAAGCTAAGTTTACCCTCTTTTAACACATAAGTCTTTAATACAAATTACCAAAGTCATCCTTACAACACAAACTCACAGGCCCTTGGAAACACCAAGTCTAGGTGCACAGCGGACAGCACTGGTTGGACCACTCAGTGGTTCTCTGCCCCCTGACACTCACGGCTCAGCTGCAGTTTGTTCTGTGAGCAGCCAAAGTGGTGCTAGTGTTTCTAAGGGACGCTGCTGAGGCACTGGGAGTTCTAACTGGCATAATGCCAACAACAGATTGCCAAAATAAAAAAGCAAAAAATGAAAAGCATTGCTTAATGTCAAACAGGAAAGAATACTATAGATATTCAACAGCTACTCAACAACAATTAATTGATGTTTCTCTTGAATAAAATTCACATTCTAGGTAGCCATAAACAACAGCCTCTCCCATAAGTCTGAAAATCCTCTAAGGTATTTTGAAATCACATCAATGAGAAAATATATGATCTGTGTAAAAGGCAGGCTCACTCTCTGTTCCCCACTGGGTAATTTTGAGAGCATGGATGCAAGTTTTGATGCCATGTGAGACTGAAATGGCTAGAAAAAACATAATAAAATAGATACCTGAGCCATCAACCTTTACCCATACAATATATTTATATTAAAAATGGGTTCTAATATTGTATCACTGAATCTTGACCTCCCAAATCCATACTATGTATGAAATTGTGGCTGTCCTGCTGCATAAGTAAATAAAATATAATATTCAACATAAAGGCTAATATGCTTACACACACACAATGGGGACCAGGGGGATATGGAATGATATTCTACTATGCCGGCAAACTGGCTACGTGAGTGGGACCCTCAAGGCCAGTGTGACCTTGCTTTAGGGACAGTGAAGTAGGGGGAAGCTGCTTGCTTCCTCACTGTGCACAGAAGGCTCGTAACTGCAGCGCTCCTAAGGTAAGAGAGTACCTCCTGAGGACAATGCAAAGAACGTATACATCTGGGTACAGGAAGAACATGTTCTCCATTAACTTGTCCTATTCACTACAGTTGCTGTTCCAAGAGAACTACACCACCCCTTCTCCTTGATCATAAAAGTGAGTCAATCATGGAGACTATTGCATCTGTCCACTGCAGGCAGGTTCCTTCCCAGTCCCTATACCTTAAATACTAGTTTTTGTCTTTATTCCTTGCCATTCTCCCTTAGTTATCTGGGGGTCTGACTAGCCCCTGGCACACATACACATAAGAAATCAATAAACTTCTGTTCAGGAGAGAAGTAATGAATGCTATTTTTATTTAAAAGACTTAAAGGGCTGCGGAGATAGCTCAGTGGACTAAGCACTTCCTTAGGCAAATGCAGGGGCCAGGGTTTGATCCTTGGCACCACATGCCATGCCGACCCTGGCCCCCACCCCCCACCCAGCACTGAGCAGAGTCCACGCACGACGGTACATGCCTGTAATCCCAGCACTAAGCAGGCTGAAAACAGGAGGATCAGAGACCCTGCACACACACACGCACACACACACACACACACACACACATCCCTAACTAAATAAATGACTTGAGCACTGTATGAATCAAGGTGGCACCCCACATTAGGTATATTCCACTACAGCATACCAAGCCAAACAAAAATGTTGAGAATGTAAACAGGAGGATCACTATGAGTCCAATCTAGTAATGAGATCCTGAACACCCTGTAGACCCTTCCCAAAAAAAAAAAAAAATGCTCCAACTGCAATAATAGCTGGAAAAGCAGGGATTTTAAAATCTGAACAAGTATCATGGCCATCCAATTAATATAAAACAATGAGCATTTTCAGAAATTCTATTATAAGCTCATCATTGGGCTAACTCCTAGTACATTTCCTAACTTAATCCTCATTAAAAACATACATTACACCTAGTATTCCCACAACCTAGAAGACACGTCTGACAAAGGAGGTCATGGACAGCCTTGATCTGACTGCAAAGCTGGTGCTCCTTCTATCGTCCACATACACAGTGACTGCAATAAAAGAGAAAGAGGGAAAAGAGCTGTGCTCACTTCCGGACACCACTACCCTACCTTTGAATGATCACAAGACACTGAAAAGGGAGAATCTTTTAGTTCAAAGGAGCGGGGGTGTAGCTCAGTAGCAGAGCATTTAGCTAACATGCACCAAGTGCTTAGATGGATCCTCAGCATGAAAGCAATGAAGAAAGCAGAAAAACAGAAAGGAAGAAATGAAAAGAAAGAAAAGAAAAGGGGAAGGGAAAGAAAGGGAAGGGATGAAGGAGGAAAGGAAAGGAAGGGAGGGAGGAAGGAAGGAGGAAAGGCAGGTGGGCATGCTGGGAGGTTAATATGGATATAGTATTTTTTAAAATGCAAATAGTGTCAAGGAGAACACAGTATAAAATGAATTCCTTTCCCATTAACCGTTTCTCTGTACCTCAGTTCTCTTTCTGGAAGGTCAACAGCAACTCATGCATCCTTCCAAAGAAACTGCACAAAGCTATGCAAACATATAAACATAGGGTTCCATGTATGTAATGGTAGCCGGTTTTACACTGTGGATTTTTTGCTCAACTTTCATGGAGACCCATATACTGATAAGAGACTGTCTCAGTTACTTTTCACTCATTGCTGGGACAAAATACCCAACACCCAAAATTAAGGAAGGAAAGGCTCATGTAGCTCACAGTTCATGGAGATTTCAGTCTATGTTCAGCTGCTGCAAAGGCAGGGCAGCACATGGCAGATGGTACGAGCTCATGGTGGTGGAAAACAGCAAGGCACATAGGGAGGTAATGCAGCTGCAGCTTCTAGCAAGCCCCTTGCCCTTCCTCCTCCAGTGAAAACTGGAGCTTCTCCAAAGAAACTGGCATGAACCATCCTTCCTCAGTCCCCTTTACATATCGTTTAAGTGCTCAGTCACTCTACAGCAGGCCCTCCATACTCTACAGAGGGGCCTCATAAACCCTGCGGTGTCGAATTGCTGAGCCAACTTAGTCCAGTGCTTTAGTCCCAAGCTGACACAGTGAATCACCCCCACAGAGACCTAGCTCCATACACTGCAGTAGGGTGCACATGAGTGGTCTACCAAGAGAGTCTCCTTGTCTGTGGTTACAATGAATTGTGCTACAATAAATAGCTTCACCCAAGTGTGACAAGAGGGAGAAACTTACTTATTGTGCTTTTGCATCTTAGAAAGAAGAGAGGGAAGGCTAATACACACCACTACTGGATACAGAATGCTAATAACA